GTGTGTATGTGTGTATGTGCTTGTGTGTGTGTGTGGGCACGTGCGTGCGTGTTTGTATGTGTGTGCGTGGGCACGTGCGTGTGTGTGTGAGTGTGTGTATGTGTGTATGTCTGTGTGTGAGTGTGTGTGTGAATGTGTGTGTGCGTGCATGCGTGTGTGTGCTTGTGTGCGTGTGAGTGTGTGTGTGCGTGTGCGTGTGTGTGTGTGTACGTGTGTGCGCGCGTGCGTGTGTGCGAGTGTGTGTGTGTGTGTGTATATACGTGTGTGCGAGTGTGTGTGTCTGTGTCTGTGTCTGTGTCTGTGTGTGTGTGTGTGGAGGGGATACCAGTCTTCTAAGGCCTGTGGAACCAGGCCATGAACCGGTCTGTGTGATTCATACAGTCTGGTTCCTGTGCTATTAAGGGAGATAAATCAGCCACCAGGTTCTCAGTAGAGCTATAACTGCCCTTTTCATTCTTATAAATCTCCCGAGGCAGCAAGAAATTAGTGAAGTCAGTTCATTGATCTTGCAGGGTTAATGTTAAATTGGCAACAAAAGTTATTATTGGCCAATGGGACAGTTCAAAGAAGTTTTGGAGCTGGCCAATGTGCCTCTTACAGTGCATTATCTGATGACATGCTGTCATTATGTTGTATCGGTGTTTTCATATTCAGCCTATTAATCTAATGGCTAACTGCTCCATTCTCTTAGCGCTGAGCATTTACTGAAATGTCTGCACCTAATGCAGCTAGTTATTTATATGTGTACATACATTGCTTTCCTTAGTCTTTCATCAGGAGGGGTTCAGAGTTTGGCCAAATCCCAGGAGTGTATAAATCAAGGTGCAGCCAGTGTGCACTTTACAAAGACTGCAGGGTGTTACTATTGTCGAAATGTGGACTGCACCTTTGTTACAAACGATCGATTGCTATCGGGTTTTGTTACAAAGACACTTTGTAGCTACATTCTTTTAATGTTGGTAAATAGTGCATCAAATTTAAAAAAATTCATTTCTATAATATGGGTGTTGCTAGCTAGACCGGGATTTAGTGCACATCCCCAATTACCTCGAGGGTAGCTGAGAGTCATTGCTGTTAGTCTGGAATCACATGTAGGCCAGATTAGTAAGGATGGCTGTTTTCCTTCCCTAAAGGATGTCAACGAAAAGGTTGGATTTTTTCCCCCAACAATTGTTTCATGGTCAACACTAGACTCTAAATTCCAGATTTTAGTTGGAACTTTTCCATCGGTCATGGTGGGATTCGAACCCATGTCCAAGAGTTATACTCGGGGTCTCTTGGTTAATCGTCTAGTAATGATACTGCAAAGGCCACCACCTCCCCCAGAATACAGGAAAAAGCTGTTCGGCCCATCTGGTGTTTATGCTCCACGTGAGCTTCCCCCTACCATTCCCTGTAAATATATCCATCTATTCCTTTCTTGTTCATCACTTTATCCAGCTTCTCTTAAATGGACCAATACCATTCAACTGATCCAATCCACATTTTGCAAATTCCACATTCTCACCACTCTTTTGTAAAGGACCCTTCTCCTGGACTGGATTTATTCGTGACTACCTTCTTATATTCATGGTCCCTGGCTTTAACCCAGAAGAAACATTGGCCAACTTTTAGTGCTCTAGAATGGGATCTCACCCATT